GTCTGGCTTGTATAGGGAACATGTTTACAAAATGACTCTTTAGGCTGTGGTCACAAGAGAGGAGTGTCTGGAAAGACACACAAAGCATTCAAAAGTGAAGACGGCCTCTGTGCCTGCTGAATTGAAACCGCACCCTTTTGATATGTATGTTGCATGTGTGTTCAATACAGTGGTGGGATTCAAATAATTTGACAACCAGTTCACCCAGGGTCAAGTTGGCTATCATGGGAGGCATAGCCCATCCCCATTCTCCAGCTCCGCTGCTCATGTGGAATGAGCCTCCCATGATGGCCAACCTGATCCTGGGTGAACCAGTTGTTAAATTAACACACACACATATGCTATCAAAGTGGATCCTGGGCGCTGCGCTGCAATAGAGAAACAGGCAACAGAGTAGCCAGCACAAGGGGGGGAGGAGCAGGGAAAAGAAAGAGGGAAAGCGGCCTTCTTCTCCTTCCCTTGCGCTGGCCGCTCCATTGCCTGTTTCTCCATTGCAGCGCAGCACCCAGGATCCACTTTGATAGTTGTGGGTGAGTAATTTAACAACCGGTTTGCCTGAACCAGTGTGAACCGGCTGAATCACACCACTGTTTCCGTATAAAAAAGAGAAGGATGTTCAATCGTGTAGACAAGGGCACCATCTTGGCTTTTTTTGACTCTCTTGCAGTTGCCCTTGTAATAGCCTGTTATGTAAATACCTGTCCCTTGACTGTATTGCTGTCATTCAAGACCTGTCCAGGGGAGGCAGAGGCAGCGGGACCCACACCCCACTTTTGACTGAAGCTCAGCTTTCACAAAGAATGAAAAAACCTGTCTCTCAAATCGTCCCACTGCATCTCATTTCAAATGCCGGAGACAACCTAGCAGCCTTCCCTTCACCAACTGCTTCAGACAGGCAAATAGCTTTCTATTAAATATTGTTGTGGTTGACTAGATTGCACAGATCTCCTGTTCCCACTTTAAACCTGACCTTAATATTTTATGTATTGTTTAAAGGATAATGTTCCAGGCAGAGGAATCTATGAGGCAATAAATGAATTGTGCAGGTAATTAAATGACGAACCAAAGCCAGAAATACTGATAACCATAAAAACCATTTATTTTGACTTTACTCCAAAGCTATGTGCAGCAATTATTGTAGGAGGGGAAAGAAGATTGAATGCTACAGGACTAAGTGAAAGGAAGACTAAAACAGCACATTTGTAGCATACAAGGAATTGAACTCAAATTCTGTTTGTTGTGTTTTTCTGCCTGCAGAAGAACACTTCGAAGTCAGATAAAAGACACTTATGACTATTACGCTGAGCCATTAAAATATGTTTTTAATGAGTTCCTCAAAGCATTTAATGCATTTTTACAGTCTGGATAAAAGAAAACAATGCCATTAAATTTCATAGCCTTCTTTGCCAGCACGTTCTAAGAAAGATTCCATATTTAGCAAACCTGAAGATGACATAGAAGGAAAAAATAACCCCTATCTCTCAAATTCTATTTGCCTAGAAGCCTAAATACATGGCAGAAGCGAAGCCTAACATGCATAACACAAATTCTGTTGAAATTAGATTTCTTTTTTACCTTAACAAAAACACATTTCACAGAAAGGCCAACAGTTATATTGAATTTCAAGAAAAATCTCTCCCTCCCTCCCTNAAAACCCCTAGTTACTAAGGAATATAGTCAATGTAAAAATATTGTGCTGGATATATGCCAAGGGTCACTTCTCTTCTCACCAGATGCCCTTGGGAAAATCACAATCTCATAAACTGATATTGAAAGACCATTTATTTCAATGCAAATAGTATTAAACTGGAAATTAAGAAGGAAGGTGGATGAGAGGTAATTGGAGTCATGGGATAAGACCCCCACACACACCATTTTTCAATGCCCTACAGCCATGATGGTGAACCTATGGCATCCTGGAGTCATATTTGCCGGCACGGCAGACCTCAGCTCCCAAACTTCCGGTTGGACCGTTGGACTGTTTTTCACCCTCCACAGGCTCTGGAGGTTTCCGGAAGCCTGGAGAGGGCGAAAAACAGGTCCAACGGTCAAGGGGAAGTTGGTTTCCAAACTTCTGGTTGGCCCATTGGGCCTGTTTTTCACCTTCCACAGGCTCCGGATGCTTTCCTGTACCTGGGGAGGGTGAGAAAATGGCCCAAGAGGCCAACCAGAAGTTCAGAAATAATGTTTCTGCCTTCTGGAGGGCCTCTGGGGGGCCGGGGAGGCCATTTTTGCTCTCCTTAGGCTTCAGGAAAACCTCTGGAGCCCAGGGAGGGCAAAAACTCTCCACACACACATGGGGGGGTCGAACGTGAGGGGGTCACACACGCATGCACAGGTGGGCAATTTTGGCACACCTTTAGAAAAAGTTTAGCTATCGCTGACTGCCCTATAGACTTCTTCCCTTGGATATTCTTCAACTGTTGCTTTCCTTTATTGTTAGGAAATGGGCCAGAGCGGGATGACTCAATCTATTTGCTATTTCTTTCAGATGGAAGAGAGACAGACAGACATTATATATCATGTTATCTAATTTAATGAATGTGGGGTTCACTATTTATATACAGAAACATTTAAATAGTGTTGAAATATACAGCTTTGAATATGTTTTATCTAAACGTTACCTATGTTCAGAGCCACAGGTTGGGTTCCCTCTTCATTTTAACAATGGCTAATCAGACAAACTATAGAGATACCTGCCAGATTCCATAGGGTTAATAAATAACACAGGGAGAAAGGAAACTTTGCTATCTGTCTTAGGCTCTATTTTAGCCAGCAACTGCCTGAGATATTAGCTGCTTTTGAGTTATTTTAAATTATGTAGCTGCCACTCCTGACTCAACCTATGCTTCCTGAACCACCTGCAGCTTTCAAAGCTTTACTGCTTATCTATTTCATAAGATGATAACCATGTTTTCTTGTATTTAGCAGTATCAATAGCACTTAGTCTTATATACAGCTTCAAAGTGCTTTACAGTCGTCTCTAAGTGCTTAACAGAGTCAGCTTATTGCCCCCAACAATCAGGGTCCTCATTTTACCAACCTTGGAAGGCTGAGTCCACCTCGAGCCGGTCAGAATCGAACTGCTGGCAGTCAGCAGAGTTAGCCTGCAATCTTGCATTCTAACCACTGCATCCTCACACCATTCTTCCTATCACAGCTATTTTTTGGAATGCGTGATAAGTAGTCAAGTGGCTCCTGGTTCAAAAAAAAATTGCGAACCTTGGGCTTAGAATTAGAAGATTCTTTCCTGCCATTATGCCATATGGAGCCAAGCCGTGAAGTCTCCCTAAGATTCACCAATTTATCTAAACTATTGGGATCACATACTTTTGCTTACAAAACTGAAAATGATGTACTGTATGTATGCATTACAAGATTTTTTAAAAACCCTCATATATTAACAAAACTGATCAATCTGGTCTGAAATCTACCAAAGAAGCTTCTCCTGTAACGCCAGAAGAGCCCATCACATCTGTCATCAACCGAAAGCAGCAGAGTGCATTAACGTGTCTGGCTTGTATAGGGAACATGTTTACAAAATGACTCTTTAGGCTGTGGTCACAAGAGAGGAGTGTCTGGAAAGACACACAAAGCATTCAAAAGTGAAGACGGCCTCTGTGCCTGCTGAATTGAAACCGCACCCTTTTGATATGTATGTTGCATGTGTGTTCAATACAGTGGTGGGATTCAAATAATTTGACAACCAGTTCNGCAGATCGAATCTCACCAGGCTGAAGGTTGACTCAGCTTTCCATCCTTCTGAGGTGGGTAAAATCAGGACCCAGATTGTTGGGGGCAATATGCTGACTCTGTAAACCACTTAAGAGAGGGCTGGAACACACTATGAAGCGGTATATAAGTCTAAGCGCTATTACTAGTGCTAGTTCTCCAGCTCAACTTCTAGTGTACTTAAGACAGAATTACTTTATAGCTCCTTCTCACATTTCTGCCTTATCTTTAAGGAATCTTTACCTTAATTCCCTATGTTTTCTCCTTTACCAGGGCTCTACCCTATCTGTTCCCAAGTCCTGTTAAATAGTTCATCACAATTTGCAATGAAAAATGGATAGCTGGGTAAAAGTTACTATGAACCCCTGCCCACCCACCTCTGTTTTTTCATTTGAAGAGTGCACTGTCTGTGACAGGTAAATGAGTCCTCAGTTAAATTCCTTTTCCTTTCCTGAAACTGACATTATTTTTATAATTGACAGGAAATATTGGCAAGAGAATCTAAATTACATGGCAGCACCTAGCTAACATTGGCTCATCTCAAAAATTAATCAGGGTCAAGTCCAAACTTCCTTTGGTAGGACACCTCAGGGCTGGAGCAAGCTTGATAAATGAACAATATGCAAATGAATGGTAAAGTAGTACCTTATTATTGTCAAGGAAGCTTTATGGAAACACAACTCAAAGAAGATTTTAATTATATGACAGTATCTATTCTTTTCCCTAGCTTTGACCTAAATGCCTTTTTTTTTTTAGAAACTTAGAGCTGGAAACCACCAGGCAACAGAACAACCAAATCTCTTCCATATGCTGCTGCAATCACAATGTTTTCCTCCCCAAAAAAGCCCAACCCCTGTATATACATTTTAGAAGTGAAGACTGAGTCAGAGTTCTCCTATATCACATTTGATTTGAGATGCAACTTAAATATGTAGGAAAAGTATTTTAGTTGGTGCGGAGCAAAAAGTAGCATTATATATTTTGGCATGATGTAGTAGTCAAATAGTCAATTGGAACTAACTTAGTGGGATCATTTTTCTTCCATTCAATCATGCCTGATTCTTGGAGCCTGCCTTGATAGGTCCCTACAGTTTTCTTGGTGAGCTATTTCAGAAATGGTCTGCCATTGTCTCCTTCCAGGGCTTACTGAAAATGACTGGCCCAAGTTTACCGAGTTGGCTTTGTGGCTAGGGCAGGACTAGAACTCACAGACTCCCTGTTTGTTATTGGGATACCTTAACCACTAGACCAGCTGGCTCACTCTTGGAAGATACATATTTTTATAACGCTTAAACCTACCTGATTCCATCTGTCCATTTTCATACCCTTCTGGGTTTTCAGAAGTGTTATATTGTGGAAAAGGCTGGTTGCTAAAAAGATTGTCGCATAATAAGTTACGGCAAAGCTTTTTGAGGAATCGCAAAACGTAACCAATACTGTTCACTACTGGGAGACTCAAGAGGTGCTGTTTTCCTTCAAAAGAGGCAGAAACTGATGGAGAGAGAAAAAATATGTAGATAGTTACAGTAGTTACAGTCTTACATGCAAAGCAAGCTTATGTCCCCCACCATTGGCTTAGTGAAACAATGGCTTATATAAGTCTAATATGACCTCCTATCAGCACGGCCATTTTTACACTATCCACAGTTGCTAAACTATACAATTTCCATTTTAATTTATATTATTGAAATGCTACCACTTTAAAGTTGTGGTAGGAGAATTTTTGGGGTTGGAGTTTATCGTGACCCGACAAATGTGCGCCCGACAACAGTGCGCCAACAAAACCGCAGCGATAAAACCCCGACGTCAGCAGCGCGCCCACAAAGGCGTGCCAACAAAAGAGTGCCGACAGAAGCACGATTAGGGTTAAGGTAAGGGTTAGGGTAAGGGTAAGGGTAAGGGTAAGGGTAAGGGTAAGGGTAAGGGCAAGGGCAAGGGC